ATGAATGGGTAAAATGCTGGAAGCACTCACGTGACTATGCCAAGAAATCTGGAAGACAACGACCTGGCCAACCAACTGGAAGAGATCCATATTTGTACCCATTCCAAAGAAAAGTGATGCAACAGAATGAGGAAATTATCAAATAATCATTAATATCACACACCAGTTAAGATTTTGCTGGAGATAATTCAAAAACAGCTGTAGCAGTTACATCAACAAGGCACTGCCAGAAAGTCAAGCCAGATTCAGAAGAGAACACAAAACAAGGGATATCATTGGTGATGTTAGATAGATCTCGGCTGTGTTTTATTGACTATGCAAAGGCATTCAATCATATGGATCATAACAACTTATGGATAATGTTGCAAAGAATGGGAATCCCAGAACACTTAAGTGTGCCATTGAAAACCTGTACATAGACCAAGAGGCAGTCATTCAAACAGAGCAGGGAGATACTGAATGATTTAAAATCAGGAAAGGTTTGTGTCAGGGTTATGTCCTTTCACCATACTTGTTCAATCAGTATACTGAGCAAATAATCCAAGAAATTGGACTACATGAAGAATTCGCCATCAGGATTAGAGGAAGACTCATTAACAACCTGTGATATGCAGATTTCACAAGCTTGCCTGCTGACAATGAAGAGGATTTGAAGCATTTACTGATGAAGATCGAAGACTGTAGTCTTCCACATAAAGAAACAAAAATCCTCACAGCTGGTGCAAGTACCCTCATGAGCAAGAGATGTTCCTTAGAAGCCAGAGCGGCCAGACTGCGTCTCCCCTACTTTGGTCATGTCCTCAGAAGGGACGAGTCCTCAGAGAAGCCTATCATGTTCAGTAAAGCAGAGCATCGGTGAGAAAAAGGTGGACTTCTGTCGAGATAGACTGGCACATTGGCTGCCACAATGGGCTCAGACGCAGCGGTGATCGTGAGGCTGGCACAGGCCCATAGTGTTTCGTTCCGTTGTATGTGGGTCACCACGAGTCGAAGCCAACATGAAGACATGTAACAATAGGGTTCCCTGAAAGAGCCCTGGTGGCACAATATTTAAACACTCAGCTGCTAACCAAGAGGTCAACGGTTTGAACCCACCAGTGGCTCTGGAGAAGGGACCTGGTTGTCTGCTCCAGTGAAGAGGACAGCACAGGACACCCTCCGGGGCAGTTCTACTCTGTCCCACAAGGTCTCTAGGAGTCCAAATTGCCTCAGTACACAACAACAGGATTCTCTGAGTGGTACCAATGGTTAAGAGCTTATCTACCAGCTGAGAGGATGGTAGTTCAAACCCATCCACAGGCACCTTGAATGGTCCACAGCCTTGAAACTCTAAGGGGCAGTTTTACTCTGCACACATGGGGACACCTTGTGTGGGAAACCAGGTAGATGGCAACTTACAACAACAATTAAAATTCTGGGAAGATACTAGGCTTTGATTATAAAAATGGCGCCAAATGTGTGTTTGCATAGACTGCCTGCACATGCAACCTCCGTGCAGTGGCAGGGGACTCAATGAGCACGGGAAGCATGGGCTGCCTTGTGCTTCCTTGATAATCTGTATGGAACAGTTTCACATTTTTCACTATATCTTTGAAAACCTCACATGAAATTGTTCCCTACAGATTAACAGGAAAGCACAACTAAACCCATGCTTACTTGCTTACTGGGTAATCTGCCCTGTCACTGTGTATACATCTAGCATAAGTCTAAACAAGATGGCTTCGGGCAGAAATACTCTCCATGTCGGAATGTTAGCTGGCCAAGGTTGGGGACAAGAGACAACACAGGCAGTCCCTCACTCATGATGGGGTTCCGTCCAACAACCTGTTTGGCAGTCAGTTCCGAGGTAAGTCAAAATACCTCTTTTTTTAAAAGTGTTCCAAGCCTGTTACACGGCAGTAAATCAAATGCCTGAACATCTGCAAGTGAACATCTGAGAAGGATAATATCAGCAAATTATGCATTGCAACACTGGATGTAGTACATAGTACCAGTAAGACACACACACACACACAAGAGTTATTAAGTATAATTGGTCATAACTCAAATATGATGTAAGTCAGAGACTACCTGTATGTATCTATATCCTCTGATAATTATACAATTATTTTAAAACTTTGCTAATAGAGAGCCAGGAAAATTAAACAAGAAATCATTATAAAAGGAATTTATTAGACAAACACACCAGTAAATCAAGTCTAAGGATTTGGGTGGCAAGCCAACCTTTTAAAACAGCAGGAGTCCAAAGTCACACACTTCAGGCATTCCTCTGTGACAATTTGTGGTAAAAAAAAGAAGGGTCCAGAATTACAGTTCTCCATGCTGGTCCACAGAAAGATAACATCCCACCCTCCACCCTATTCTCTCTCTTCAACTGAAGTCTTCTGTGATCTGTCCCTGGGGGGCTGGAACAAGGGTACACCTGTGCTACACCCAGCTTCTCTGGTAAACATTGCCCTTGTGCATGGACACGGCAGTGGGATTGTCCATTCATGTGCCTGGAGCTTTGCTTTTGAGAAACCAAGTTATTGAACAAGAGTTTACCAACCTGTAAAGTAAATAAAACAAGACTGTCCACTCCAATGGCTGCATTTTTAATCTCATGGACACCAGTGGTCTTTGGGAAAGTTGTAATGCGTTGTTTGAAGACCACTCTTTCTTTAGAACAGGAGAGTCTACTTAGTAAATAACAGATGATTGGATAGCACACACTCTCAAGTCTTAGGTGACTCACACGAATGTGAAGACTTCTAATTTGGGGTAATGGAGGGCTGTGATGTTTTCTATCATCCCTGGTAATAACAGAATTAGATATTTCAAGACAGTGACAACAATGTGTTCCTCATACCAAACAATGCGCTTTCACTTTATAAAATGCTATTGATCACTAAACTGAATGGTTAATGGCACAGGGTGCCAAGAACTAGCAGGAATGTGGTATCCACATGAATATCAGCTGCCCTCCAGGAATGAGATAAGTTGAATTGGAAGCACACGTGACATAGTTGAAACTCTGCGTTTCTGAGATATAGGTTACAAGATCATATGACTGAGATAAACATAGAAAACTGAAAGAAGAGGATTCCAAACCAACCTGACTAGGGGATGTATAGGACATACATATAAACAGGAGGTGACAAAACACCAGTTAGAACGTGTGCCCATCTAGGAAGGAACCGTGGCTGAATCCACTACGGACACGCTTCCACAGCTGCTCCTAACACCCAAGGACCACGTCTTCAGCAGTCCCTGCCAAGCTTCTGCTTGTTCATCATGCCACCAAGGACAGTCCGTTTGGAACAAGAATTGCTTGAAGTCAGAATCTTAAAACAAGACCTAAAATGGCTTAATGCTGTGCTTTGAAACAGTGTGGTTAACAGCTAGTGTGCAGGTGGTGCTGGCTCTCTGCAGCTGTCCAGGGTTTGGGAGCCAAGGAACCAAACGCGGGGGCAGACGAGTCGGGACTCAAGTTTTAAATGATCAAATAATGCAGGTCACAAGAGGCTGTCTGTTGTACGGACGTCAGGTCACTGGTTGAGCGTCAGTCCCCTTCATGGTTGCCTTTTAATGCATTTGGGGCCATTGCTGTGGTTTGTCAAAGCTGTTCTCAAAACACTCAGAGCAGAGAAGCTGGACTATTCTAGCAAGAGACCCTAGCTACCATGTGGAGTTCATTTCCTAGTGCGAATGCTGGCCTACTCAGAAAAACGGGTCACCCACTCTCTCAGGAATAGACTGTGCATAGTCTGCGTGGAACACGAATGCTTTCTAGAAAAGTGTGGCGTTTTATGCTTTTAACAAACGGTTCATTTTCCAGCTGCAGTGTGAGCTTGTGGCACTAGCTCTCTCCCAGTTCTACTCAGTACTGGGGGCCAAGGAACCGCTGCGTTTGGACCAACACTCAGCGATGGGCAAAGGGAAGGCCCGCGGGAC